GATAACTGATGGTTTGTGCTTGACAAACATACAATTCAATTTTAATCCATAGAACGTTTACATATTATCTATACACATAATATGTAGTCCCACTAGAATTTACTGGGTAAACATATAATAACATACTCATATAACTACCTATATATACTTTAATGACTTACCAAAACGTACGCAACGGAAACCGTGGACGCTTGTTCGAGGGTCCACTTGTCGGGCACTTCCCACAGGGTTGAACTGTCGGCTAACACGTGCGTGGCGAGGGCGCTGCCGGACACCAGTCCAAACACCCTTTGTCCCTTTGCGTTGCGGCCGGCAAATTCTCTTCCCAAAAATGCACCCTGGTTGGCAGTGTCTGTGTTGAAGAATGGCAACCACGAGCGCTCAGCGAAGAGTACGTCCATGTGATTCAGCGGCGCATAGTATACGGTGCACAGTTCTCGTCCTGGATAGTCTTCGGGTCTGAGGAACAAATGATGGTTATAGGTTGAAGAAAAGAAAACCCTATTGTTTTCTCCATGTTGTACGAAGGAAAATATTATTATTATTTGGTTACTTGTAATATTGCAGGCGGCCTTCGATCCAGCTCAGCGTCGACAGGTCTCCAACCTTTCTAGTAGATATATACGCGAATTCTCTAGGCACAACCATATTGTCGGAATCGTCTCCCAACTGGAAATGTCGGTTACTACCCCAGACTCCGTTGCGATAAACATTGATCAGCAGATCTTTTTTCAATTGCTTCTGATAGAAATCGGAAGTCAACGAAAATTTTGGTGCTTTCGGGTCTTCGATGAACAAACATCTAAATATTTAAGAAACATTAAAAAATATGTACATAATATATAAAAATTAATTGTAAATAATTATATGATTATATATAATATGTAGTAACCTCAATGCGTTTCCGTTTTGTTCCAATCGAATACAATTTACAAAACCTAAAATTCCGGAGTACTCGACACCTTGGCTAACTAAGAGCACTTGTTTAATTTCTTGTTCTGCCCGTTGGAGAGCAGATTTGAATGGTTCGATCCAAGCAAAGTCGTTCCCTGTGCAGTTAACCACAATGGGAGCGGCGGAATAGTTCACATTCTAAAAAATCAAATCCCATATAATATTATTTTTTCTGGCAACAGTTCAGCCGATGACATATTGTGTGATGTAGAAAATAATATATTCGTTTACCTTTCGGAGGAGAACGAATGTTTTATTGTCATTCGATCTTAAATTGGCCACCAATTCCAATCCTGTTGAGTTAAGTTGTTGTTCCGTTGGTTTTTTGCTTTCGACAAACAGTACACAACCGCCAACTTTTAAACTGTCGGCAGCGTTTTTTGCCAAAACCACGTTACTTAGTTGGTCGGCGACTATTACCAGATGACAGTTAGAATCAATCGGTTCCGGTCTGTACACATCTTTCTCCACGGCTCGAACACCGAATTCATCTAGTTGTTCCGTAACAGGGGCTGGCTGGTCGGTAAACACTGTTACTTCCACCTATCAAAACATTGAGTGATAATTTTTTTTTCTCATACTTAAATAATATTATATTCATACGCTCGGCATTGGCTCGGTGTTGATCACATCGATGACGGATTTCGCGTATAGCGATTCCGGATTTCTCCCAGTTCCTACCTCGGCCACTTTCAGCTTGAATGCGCCTCCGCTGTTTTCGAAAGCTAATTGAACACATGTGTCCAGAGCGTATATTGTCGGCTGAAACCAACGGTGACGTATTGAAATATGATTATAATAATATAATATAATATAGTATTAAAATTAGTTTCCGTTGCATTTTTACACAGTTTCAAACAAAACTATTGATTTTTTTCTTGAATTTCAGACATGTCGAAATCGCCTTACGAAACATACTTGATTTAACCATGTTCCATATTATCAAAGTGAGATAAGATAGTGGCTTCGGGATTTGTTGAAAATATCCACTAATACGCGTGGAATAATCGATTTAATAATATTTAATATCAATATAATCGATTTTTTATAGTTTATAGCAATATTCGCACCCCTGAAAGAATAGTGACACAACTCGAAAAATACGTTTTTCGAGATATTACCATCAAAATTTGCAGAATTTCATCCTTTATATTTTGGTGTGGTTGACATTTTTGATATATATAATATTAAAGACCGTATGAGCTCAAATGTCTTTATTTCTGCTTAAAATAAAATATAGTTTCCAGCTGGAATATCGACACTTCTCAGATGTAACTTTATTCTGGCCTGGCTTATGTTGTTACACAATATTTTTCTAGCAAGAATAATGTCATATCTCAAAAGTAATAATTTCACACGAGAAAGATTATTTTAATTTTAATTAATATAATAATATTACCAGTGGCTATTATAAGAATACCTAGTAGTGTTATCAGTATCATAATCGTTAATTATTTATAGAATGCTATAATAAAATTAGTACCAATAACCGACTTGTATCGTGGTGTTATTATTATCGTAGATAAATATATGGATGTAAATGTTATTAAATGTTATTTTTGTTATCGATTCTACATTCTACTATCGTCTTGCACTCTTCCAGTACGAAATTCTATACCAAGGATAGAGAGCCATTATTTGCGATCACAAACTACAAGATAATTTATAGATGGTGGGAAATCTCTAGCTGATATTCATAGAGATTATGTAAATTTACGCAAGGGAAATAATCTTTGTTTTGCAAAAATTGATATTTACTCTAGAATTTTTAATAGAGAATTTAATATTTCATTTTTCATACCTAAAAAAGACCAATGTTCACGTTGTGAAGCTTATAAAAATGCTGATGAAGTGCAAAAGGTCATGTTGGATGAAAATAATCAGTTACATTTACACGAAAAAGAACTTAGTCGAACAGAGAAAGAAAAAGATAAAATATTTGCATCAAATACTTCAAATAAAACAACTGTTTTATGTTATGACCTTCAAGCTGTATTACCAACTCCAAGAGGAGAAGTATCAGTATTTTATTATAAATCTAAATTGTCAACATTTAATTTTACAATTTCCAATATTGTAAAGTCATCAACATATTGTTATGTATGGCATGAAGGTGAGGCTCACCGTGGTGTAAATGAAATAGGCTCTTGTGTATTAAGATATCTGTCAACAGAATGTGATGATCAAAATGTTATATTTAATTGTGCTGGCCAAAACAAAAATAAATTTATGATAAGCTTATATTTATATGCCATTGCAAAACTTAATATAATTTCAATAACTCATAAGTTCTTAGTTGTAGGGCATACACAAAATGAGGGGGATAGTGCCCATTCTGTAATTGAAAAACAAATAAAAAAATCATTAAAATCAGGTCCTATATAATATTCCATCTCAGTATGTCACACTTATCCAGATTGCCAAAAAAACTGGTACACCATTCACTGTTGAACAACTAAGCTCAGACGATATTTATGATATTAAGGATATTTCTAAAAATATTGGAGATAACTATACATTAAACACTAATGGAGAAAAGGTTTATTGGAACAATATTAGAATTGTAAAAGTTGAAAAATGTCATCCTGGTATAATATTTTATAAAAACACATATGAAAATGATGAATTTATGAAAATTAAACATGAAGAAAAAAGGAAGAAGATCATCAGGTATACCTTACAACATAAAGTTGGCATATGCAGAGAAACCAAAAATAACAGAAAACAAAAAAAGAGATCTTTTATCCCTCTGTGATAGTAACCATATTCCTAAAGTATATCATTCATTTTATAAAAATTTGTAAGTATCTTCTTATATTCTTCTCATATTATACTTGTATTAATAAATATTACAATATTATGTCTGTTTTAATAAATATTATCTCAAAAGTATTATCTATTATTTTTTTTAAATTTAAGTTTTGAACATAACCAAATTAGTAAACCTACACTTGGCAAAGGTAAAGTACATAGATACTTAAGTAGATAGGTACCTAAAATGTATCATGTAGTTATACAAAATGCAATAATAACAAATATTTACATACCTATTAATTATTATTTTGTATTAAGTGTTATTGATCTTAAATGTGATAAAACAGGTTATAGGTTTTTAATGTTTTAAATAAGATTGTTATTACAAATTTTATTTTATGTGGCGTAAATCAAAAAATATTATTTTTCCAAGCAGAAATAACGACACAAGTCAAATTGAAATCAGATTTCCAATAAAACGATAGTGAAATGGTACATAAATTATCAATTTAAGAATATAAAAGTAAACTATACAATATTAAGAATAATATAAGATTGAAAAAAGAAAAATTCATAGAAAATTCTATTTATAGTGGCATAATAAAACATTAAAAGTCGATTTCCCAACATTTTGATTTTTTGATTTGTGTCACTATTCTTTCAGGGGTGCGAATTATCATGTTTAGATTAGCCGCAAGAACATTTGTCCCGGTATTTTTAGAACAGGCCTCGTAAAATACAGTCGAGTCTCGAGAACTCGAATATCAAAAAGGGTGAATATTAATTTGGTTAAACTTTTTCGAGTTATATTTATATACTTCATATTATATAGCTTATAAACACTTGAAAATTCAAGATAACAGTTTGAATTATGAAGGTTTTCGAGTTTTCTAGATCTGAGTTTTCGTAAACTAACCTATTTATTTGGACTTAATTTAAGTTGTTATCGTTTGTTGTATTTTTTATATCTAGCGGACATTTATGTAATAATCGTAATATTAGATCTATTGCTATAGCAGTTGATAATATTATATTATAGTGTTAATAATATTATTACCTAATTGTAATAAATGTTAGGTTAATTAAAACTATTAAAAGTGTTAGGGTCATAGAAAAAATAAAATATTTAATAATTAGTTGGACGTTACATGCTAAGAAAATTCATTATAATATGTATAAAAACATTAAAAACTATATTTTTAACCTTAATAATTTGCTAACCATATTTCCATGTACAAATTACTAATGTTTAAGATATAAAAATATAACATGTTCAGTAATATTGTAATGACTTACACCATTTTTCCACATAGCTTATATACATTAAGCATTAGGTAGGTATATAATATTGTATTACACCAATATATTTTATTATTTACCGTATCAGAAACGTATGGTTGGAAAGTGTAAAACTCTAAATTAGGATCTTTTTGACCTTTATTTCTTATTGGAACCTCTTCTAATTTTAATCCACTGACTTCAACGCTTCCGGCCTTAATTACATCAACGTATTTGTGATAAATAGCTGGGATGACTATAACATTACACATAAATAGGTGTTAAAAAACATAGTTGTAACATTTGTCTATGAAAAACTAAATTATTTATAAGGTTATTACCATTTTGCTTTTGTTGTATAGTAGGATCGATGACTACTTTTTTTACGAATTTCGGAGTATACAAATTATAATTATCCAATTGCAACACTGGTATTTGAAATAGATTTTCTAAAAATACTAACCAATTTCCATCGAAATTGACGTGGTATCCTATATAAAAACAATACATTTATTTATAATAAAATTTCGTAAGTGAAATTCAAAACCAAATCATTTGATTTTATATATGATTTTATTTAGTCAGTATAATATTTATATAAGCTATTATAGTATATTAAAGTATGACACTATTTAGATTTTTTAAGATAAAACAAATTAATTTAGTGATTGTATAGCTTACCTGTGTGATCAATTTTTTGGATCCCTCGGAATGGACCGTTGTAATCGTAACCTTTCAAACGCAATTCTTTATAAACGTCTGTCGAATCCAACGGTAAATGTTGAGGTTTTTTGTTTTTGGGCATCGCCAACTTCAAGAACTCCTTTTCAATCGTAGTCGAAGTGCTAATTTGACCAGAAGCTACAATCGTATCGGATTCTTTGAGTTCAAATTCTCCAGACGACAGTACGTTCAAAACAAACTTAACAACTCCTAAATAAAAACAGAAAATATTGGTACGTTACAAACCCGGATTAAGGATCAATTGGGCCCCAGGACACCATACACTTAGTGGGCCCCCTATCAACTTTAACTTCAAAATAATTGTATTATTACATTATAACATTTTCAAAGTTTTTAAACACGCAGTTGTACCAATAATAAAATAGACTTTATTTTTTCAAATGGTAACCACTATTTTTTGATGGATCTGGTAAAGCTTTTTTTCTGAACATTTTGACAGTCAAATGATCAATTTGGGTTAGCTAGGTTATTAACAACTATGGTCCTTAAAGGTTTAGTATAATATGTATTAATACTTTAAACTAGCTTAAATACCAATTTTACAAAAACTAAATAATTTTTCTTATAACTTCCTTTTTATTTACTTAAATAGGTAAATCGGTAATCTAAAATGCTTAAAATAAAAAAAAACAAACAAAATTGTTGGCAAACATAGTTCATTATTTATAGTAATTTTTCGTGATATAAAATTGAGAACAATTTTATTTTATAATTACTAACAATAATTTACCTACTATACTTACCTAATTAAATTTTTGTTTGAAAAATGTATTGAACGCGTTAAAAAAATATATTTTTGGGATAAAGATGGGCCCCGGGACCATGCCCCCCCCTTAATCCGGGCTGGGTATGTTAAATAGTTCAAAATGATTAATTTTTCATTTCTTTACCATGTTCTGGGATGACCGTCTTCCTTAAGAATTCCACATTCTTGAACACAACTGCCAGTTCATTTGGCTCTTGACGTAATAACTCGGCAAAACCTTGCCAAACTAATGACTGAAAATAAAATTGTATTATATTTTTGAACAAAAGTTTAGTTTCTCTTTCACTGATTCTGTGTACGTGTTTTTTTTTTTATAAATTATGTTTGAACCTTGTATTATAATTAAACTGGAGCTATAACATATTAAAAATAATACTTAAATATTTTTAAAGATACTATAGTATAATCCATTGGTAAAAATTTTACCATAAAAATGGTTTTAATAATTGTAAAATCAAGACTTTCTAAAATTTTGCATTTCTTATCGTACCCACAGTTCAGTATTTACATTAATGCTTCTTCTACTTGTATTCGTATGGACGTTTAAGATAGAAAAAACTGATATTTCATGTTTTATTTTTTGAAATTATAAGGTATAAAAACATTGATATACATTTGAATAACGAACAATAATTAACTATTATTTAGGTGATAGTTATTTTTATTTTTTAATTTATTTTAAATATATAAATTGGTAGAGCTACTACTAGTATAATACGGACTTAGCCTGGTATTTTTTATTTTAAATGTTTTTTCATTTTATTTTATTATTTTCGTATTTTATCTATCTTAACGTCATAATATGTGTATAAAAAATGAAGAAATGTGTTGTGAAAATCTAATCTACAATACCTTTCACATGGTGTATCTATATTTCTCCTACTATGACAAATAAGTTTTTTTATTAAGCGTTTTTGATATATTGATTATCAATTAAACTCACCAGATAACCAGCGTAAGGTAAAATGAATAAGTCGTCTATTCTATTGTTTTTCAAAAAGCTGAAATTATTGGTATTGACATCTACGTTTAATACGATTTCGCCGGCTTTAGAAGATGGCTGTAATACGATTAAACACATTTAAATGATTTTAATTACAGATTTTATTTTTATAGAGACGAAAAAATTACCTTGCCGCAGAATGTAACTACTTTCCATTTAATAGAATGATCCCATTCGACTAATGATTGGATCATCGGGGTACGTGCCGACACGGGGAATTGCACTGGCGGATATAGGTGTTCAATTTGGGGTTGAAGGCCTGCATTAAACAAGCTACAACACGAATACAATTATTAATGAGCACGACGATATTTTTCACAGTAATAGCCAATAGGTATATATTTTGATTTACGTACTCTCCGACACTCAATAACAGCTGTTTATACATATCGTTGGAATTTTTGATCAGGTTTACGTGTTTGGCGTCGGAGTTTAAGTTACTTGCAATGTAGTCTTGAGTTCGTGTTTGGGCTAAGATTTGAACGTAAATTGCTTTTTCAGGGCACTTCGCCAACGAGTCCTAATAAACCATTTAAATCTACCATTAACAAAATCATATGACATAATATTGTTATGATTTAAATAATTGCATTCATACTTGAAGTGATAACTGAGTGGATAAGCTATTGACAAAGTATGTCGATGATATCAGTTGATTTCCTAATGACTGCGAAGCGCTAATCCATCGAGAAGAAATGGACTTTGGTTTAGTGATGACCTGAAGTATAAGAAAAAAACAATGTATAGGTAGGTACTACAGAAGAAAAAATGATTTTAGTACCGAATGGTGTTTTTACCAATGTATTTTAGTAATACTAAAATAGTTGTAGGTTACAAATTAATGTTTACAAATTAAAAATAAAAATTCAACTTTAATTAAAGTATAATATACATAGTGATTTATCATGTATATGCTCACCCCCATTTTTCCATTAGTAAAAAATTTATTAAAATTCTGATTTTTGTAATTTTTAAATACACGTCTTAAAGACCATATTTTCATGGAGTGTCTTATGACGATACAAACCTCTGTTATTCAAATAAGAACAACCATTTTGTACCCATTTTGAGTTACCTTGAATTTATTGATATAGGCATGAATACTCACGGCTTGTAAAGCGGACATCAATTGTTTGGAGACTTTTGAAACGTTCTGGGATGATAATACGGGTGCTAGAGATAGAAAACAAAAATATTAGTATTCATTTCAGGTATTTGTCGATGACTTGAATTGCTTACCATTTTGACTTGGAGTGATTTTTGCTTCAGCCAATACGCTACCAATAGCGTAAGCCGACAAAACAGCTTCATCTGCTGTCAAAACGCCCTCCGCGAATGCGGCCGCTAGTTCACTAAACGATTCTCCGACAATGTAATCTGGTTTTATTTCCAGTTTTGCTAGGACGTTCAAGAGAGCGACCTAAAATCATGAGGAATTAAAATAAAAAAATAAAAATGTTTTCAAATTGGTGTAGCATTATTACAAACGTACTTGAACAACGGTCGTGGCCACAACGGACAAATACGGATCACTTATCGATATGGCATCTGTATTTCTCAGCACTGAACGTAAATTGAACCCTTTTTGTTGCAACAAATTCGCACTCTGCGTGATGGACTCATTGAACACGTGCAAACGTTTTAATTGGTTACCCACGTCAGACCAGTTGGTCTCCGCACCGGGTAAAACAAAAACGACTGGTTTCTTTTGGCCGTCAAACTCCTAAAACGCGAAAAATATGTTTAAATAGTACAAATGACAAATAATTTTCTACCAGTCTTTCGTTATCTCACAGCGATCTGACGGTTCTTGTCGTACATTCCGTTAAACAGAATATAACCTCTGTATTTGTGGCCAAATATGTTTTCGCTGTGGACTCCATACAACAAGGCGTAGAACTCTTTGTCCCTGGGCATTTGATCGATCTAATAGTAAACAAAGTATATTGAAGTGTTCTATGAAAAAGGGTAATAGTTTTATAATAGTAATTTAAAAATGAAACCTAAACGTGTACATTTTTGATAGGTAGGTATACTAAACTAGTAAAAATATCTTACATTATAAAAGGTATCTAATAGAAATGAAAAATTCTAAATCTTAATTTTCCCCCTATTATCACTAAGTGTACAATAGCACAGAAAAAATTCAACCATAGGTACAAATAATAAAATAATTACTCGGTTTAGCATGTAATTTATAGCACTTTCGTTTCTGGCTGAGACAGCCACCAATCTAGGTAATTGCTCTTCCAGCACTTGCAGTTCTTTCTTCTCCTGGGTGTACGACTTCATTAGACAATGTCCATTGGCACCACCCACGCCAAAAGAGTTGACTGCAACAATACCACCGTTCCATGGAACGACTTTTTCCACTACCTTTATAATAATAACGAAAAAATAAAAGTTGAACGATCGCCGCGTCGGTTGACGTGGTGGTTTGTACTAACGGTCAATCTCCCGTCTACTAGGGCCGGGATGTCCGGGTTCGGTATGTTGTAATGCAAGTTGGGTGGCAAAAGTCTACATTCCATGGCCACGAGGACTTTTATGACAGCGGACAGGGCGGAAGCCGGTTCACCGTGACCCATGTTCGACTTGAGAGCGCCGATGAGAAGTGGAGATGTCCTCCCTTTGCAGAACACTTCGACGATTGCGCCAACTTCTTGACGGTCACCCACCTGAAAAATCCCATTACACGTTGAGATCAATCGTTTAAAATAAATATTATTATTATGCGATAAAAGACATGCTAGTCTTTTGATTGAATAATATGTTTTTTATGTAATTTATCAACACGATCGTAATAATATTTATAATAAACGTGTTAAAAATTGTTTGAAACAAATAAATTTATAATTATAATTTATTTTAGTTAATCAACGGTCAAATGTCCAATATGCAATATAATTATTGGATAACAGTGTTAATAATAATAACTGTAATAGTTTTTGAATTTGAACTTTTTTCATGTCAACATATTATTGAAGAAACTAGAAATTAATAATTTCGTAACACTATAACTGAGTTATTATTATGAGTTATACATTATGAGGTGAAAAGCCGAAAAGGGGGTTCGAATAATATCTGATTTACAATTTTTGTTCGATATACAATTATTGAATTATTGTGACCCTGCTAGATCCTTAACATTATTTTTGAAACGAGCATAAAATGTTCTATGGGTATTTTTTTTTTTTTTTTAATTTTACAAGATATTTACAATCTATTCATACATAGAATAATAAGCAAATTAGATAAGAGTATTAAAAACATGAGTAATATGACGGGTATTTGATATTATTTTATTATAGGTACTTTTTAGAGGAAAAACTCACTTTAGTAGCGGATCCATGAGCTTCCATGAAAGCCACATCAGTCGATTTAACGCCAACCTCTTCTTGGACTTGCCGAAAGAGAGAGATTTGCATTTCTTGAGAAGGGAACGTGATGCCCTCGTCTTTGTAACCGTCAGCGTTACTTCCGGTATTCAACAAACCCGCGTAGATGCGTTTCGACGATTTGGCTTTTTGTAATAACACGGCGACAACGCCCTCTGACCTCACGTATCCATCGCCTATTCACATCACGTATGTTTTAATAAATTTGATTTAGTTTTCGATTGATAAAACATCATCATCGTGTATTTACGATTTCGTCTCCCGTATTTAGTGCGTATCGAAACTTAAAAATATATTATGGAGTTGAGATACGACTGCCAGGGGATTATATTAAATTTCAAACACTTAATTAATTAAAAAGCTGGCAAGTGGGTATCACTAAGTTGTACATTTTTAGATGTCGAGCGTTCCCCGTCATTGAGGAGTAGGTCACTGTAATGCAGTGATCTAAAATATTCGGCCCGTGGGCCACATGCAGCTGGTGAAACCTTTCGATGTAGCCCGCAATAGTTCAACAAATTTGTAATATTTACAAATACATATATGTATGTTAATTTATAAAACAAAATCGCATTATGTGATTTGTAACCATTGATGTTGACGTTAAGTGTAGGTTTGGTGTACTTAGTCTATATGCTGTGTGCGTAACTCAGAGATCGTTATATCTATACATAAATTATAAATTTTATAGACATAAGAAAACAAAAGAAAAAAAGGTCTACGACAATGTTTTTCCTGCCAACCTCTGATGTATAAATATATGACCCGCTGGTAATTTGAGATTGAGACCACTGCTGTAATGTATGTGTTAAATGTGAATTCAATGATAAATCATTGCATACGAAAAAACAATTCTGACTTCTGAGTGAAAGTAGCTAGTCAGCCTATATAATACTAAGTGTACCTACCTGTATCTTATGATATTATTATTGATAAAATCGTTATTCTTCGTTTAAATATCAAATTTTGTCTAAAGACCAAATTTGAACTTAATCTTAAATTTATTGAATATCTATAAAAAGAAACTGTGAAATAGTAAATTCACATGTGTAAATCCAATGTCAAAAACTCATAAAAAATTAATGTGACATTCCGGTAACCTTTTTTTTCTTGTTATAGGCAGAATACTAGAAAACGTATGAGGAATTTCGTATTAAGATTTCAAATCTTACATTATAGAAAGAAACATTTTTATGAATTTTTAAATATAAAATAATTTGCAAATTTTTGTGATTTTCGTAAAATTCTAACTATAAACGCTTATATAAAATTGTGTGACTATATATTTTTGATTTTTTTCAAACTGTATATGAACAACTTATATCGAACCTTGTATTACATTTTCAAACTTTTTGACTACGCAAATTGTTTGGAGAACATTTCAAGTGTGTATGCGTGTGTGTGCACATATTACTATGTCATACCTTCAGCGTCAAACGATCGGCACTTGCCACCGGGCGACAACATGTTCAGGTTTTGGAACATGAGCGACACAGTCGGATTTAACACCAGATCGACACCAGCCACGATACAGTTTTCACAAACGCCATCTTGGATGAGCTTGAAGCCATGGTGGAGAGCAATCAAACTGGTAGAAGAAGCCGTGTCGATGGAGTAGCTTGGTCCTGATATTTAAACAATGAATTACAATATTTCCCGACCGGCTAGTTACTGGTGGTAATAGTAGCCTGTAGGTAAGCGGTAAACGGATTACTATTATTTTTTTACTCACCCTTTAGGTCGAAGTAGTTGGACACACGGTTAGCACTCATCGTTCTCGAAGTGCCTATAAATTCATAACCATTAACAATCTCTGGGTCTTTGGACCACCAATCACACGTTTCACTGGATGACAGAGCCACAACTACACCGGTTCGGGTTCCCTTCAAAGCCATCGGATGAAGCCCTAAAAATTAAAAAAATTTATTTGTAAGTATTGTTTTATTTAATATAAATATAACTTTCTGTAGGACAATATTTTTGTATTGTTATATATTTACGAAACATTGCAACTCTTCTTTAAAATTAAATCTCCTAAATTGTTAAAAATAAATTAAATTGATTTATATATATAATATTAGTTTGTTAGCAATACATTTCGTCTTTCCTAAATAATTTATACTATTAATTTACATTTAAACTTATTAACTTTCTAATAAAAAACGTTTTATCTAAATTTGTTATGTATCGCTAGATTATACCATTTTTTTTTTTTTTACTGCTTCTATAGTAGGTAAACATCGATTAAATAGCTTACTACGCTTATATAATAACATAATTAATCAGATTAATTGATATATGCAATGATTCTTTCATATCTCACGAGAATAATAAATACTAATTAATCATCATTAGGTCAAATGTCTAATAACTATAATTTACATTTTTATAATTTTATTCTTCGACATGACCAAGTAAAAATATGCATTAAGTTAATTCGTAATAATAAATAAAAAAAAATATTAGTTAACAATTAATGATTTTGCTTTAGAGTAACTACTAACAACTTAATAGTTTATTTATGCTTGTAGAATATTTTTACATATATAATTCTTTTGAGTGTTTATTCTGATCTTCCACTGTGGAACTTTGTTTTACATTTTCAATACTTAGCTAAAAAAGTTGAACATTTTATAAATTTTTAACCACAAAATAATTTTTAAATTTAAAATGCTTATAAAAATGTGTAATAATATTTTTCAACTGATATTGTAACACTATATCAGTAGCCTTATATTACATTTTCACGCTTTTTGACCCAACAAATAATATTTTATTGAAATGTATAGAAAAAAAAACTAAAAAAATTGAAAATATAAATTGTCCGTAAATAGCTCAAAACTAGTCGAAAAATTTTAAAAGTGTTATCAGTTATATATAAAATAAACATAATATTATGGTATATGTTTCAATTATCTATATAGTTATTCGTTTTTAAATTACAGAAAAATAAGAAAATCTCTGCATAGGAAATATCTAGTGAATATCAAATGTTAAAAAATTAAGAGCCTGGTATTACATTTTCAAGCTTTTTGAATAAACGAATACAATTTTATTGACATTTATAGAAAAAAAAATATAAATTTAAAGTATTCGTAAACAGCTCAAAACAAATGAAAATATTTTGAAAATTTTTTTGTGTATTGAAAATGTTAATTTAAATATTCAGTGGAAAACTGCATGTATCCTACGGTAATTTTTTTCGTAGAGTTACACCAAAACCAATACCGATTTTGTCGAAAACCAATTTTTGCTTAAAATTTCCCGTTTTTCCTTAATTTTTTCCCTGCGCTTTTGAAAATTATTGACCTCCCTAAGACCTGAATGAATCAACTAGATTCAATTTCTATTGAACAAGCTTACTGTTGAAGAAAATCAAAGCAGTTTTACTTCCCCAAACGGTGATGACAGACACAAAAAAAAACACTCATCATTGTAAAATCAATACATTCATCGCTCCACTCATAATCTAAAATTTATATTTGTTAAATTATTAATTAAGATATTTATAGTTTAAATTTTTTAATAATCATGTAAAGTAAAATGGGGCATATACATTACACATTATGATAAAAGTTCAAGAAATTGTTTTAGTATAATATTTAGAAAATTAGAAAGAACTTAAAAAAACCTTAACAGGCTACTCGATAGTTGTCCCCTACGAGGGCAATCAATGAATTAATAACTAATATGTTATTGTTAATAAGTACCATGAACACGAAAACCTTAGGAAAAATCGGTCAGAAACAAAATATCTTGTAGGTATCCACTATCCAGCCCAAAAACATATTTATATACCCAATTATGTTAAAAAAGTCGATTAACTTTTTTTAAACGGAGTTAAATCAGGTAATATTTTTAGATATTAACTTTTAACTTATCGATCTTGTGTTCTCTTAACTTAATTCAGCATAATATGATTTTTATATTTTAACCTTTTAAAAATATTTAATATTGTCGATGTCTTAAAAAATAATAAATATTGTATTATATAAAAACTAATCCAACCTGCATCGACAATTGCTTCGTAAACAACTTCCAACAACATTCTCTGTTGCGGGTCACTACGTTCAGCCAAAGCAGGAGGGTAGCCGAAAAATTCAGCGTCGAATTGGGTAATGTCCTTCATTTTTCCAGTCCTCATGATGGCGCCATACAGACCTAGAAATAGTATATAAAACTCTTACTGAAATCGTTATACAAGATTATGCATGTTTTTATTAAAAAAAAAGCGGTTGAATCAATTTTAAAACTGTAATTTCTTTAAAATGATAAAGTTTTAAAGAACTCATAACCTATTTATCTAAAGATTTCAATGAATGTTATTCTCCGTAAATGGATCTATGCACTGGTTTCCATTTGATCAAATAACCATGCCTTGAACGATATAATTGCATATGTTGGCAAATAAATATTGTGCAATTAAAAAAAAATGATATGAAAAGTTCTAAGCTCGACGCTATTATAAATTCAATTTTAGTCGAACAACATTTATATTCGTTATATATACGTTATTGAATCGAAGTGAACTCGCTTGTGCCCAGCATTGCTATAGTGGTTATTAAAGCAGTTCTTAAACCTGCAGTCATATAACATTATAGGTAAATATATTTTTATTTTTTTTTATTAAGAATTTCTAGTATAAACTATTATAGTTTAACAATTAAAATATTGATTAATACAGTGATACAATAAGTAATAACTGGTAAAAATAATGTTAAACTTTACTTATTTAGGTATACCGAAATTAAAAAATATCTAACGACTAAGCCGTAGACCATATTATTAGAATAATATAATATAATTCATCCATATAGGTTCGTTGCTAAAATATAGTTTATCGTCACTATAATATTATAGTCATCTCGTCGTTGACCGCGCTGTAGTTTGACACCACATGGCGTGTCGATCAAAATAAAATAACTATAGTATACTAATGTTAAATGATTGTACATAAATATAACTTTGCAAGTGAAACACCGTATAGCTTACCCGTTGGCCATCTCCTGGGTTCTCCGTTGACCATGTCCTCGCCAGCGTACAGCTTCTGCCTCATCTCGTCGATGCTGTCGCATTCGGGAAAGCGGCCGGAAAAACCGGATATGACGATGTCTTCGGGCCGGAAACCGAACTCGTCTGACAGCACGTCGGGTTCGACGGCGGCGGGGCGGCCCTCTGATTCATGGGCATTCGGTGCCATCGTGGTGTCGTGAGCGAAAAACAAAACCTAGGTACTGGTATCTGGATCGGACGGATTTACCGTTATAATGTTCTGTGTATAAATGTGTGCTGCCTAGTTGGTCAGTAATATCAGTAAATGTTTTACTATTATCGCCGCGACTTGGATGCACACAATAAGACGTTCGGCGTTTGCCGTCCCGTTTAAAATACCCTTTGGCCGTAGCTGTGATGGATCGTTTTTTTTTTCATTCTCACCGCAAAAACGTTCGATTTTTTTTTTCTTGCGCAAATCTCGCAGCGTTATACAACTGGCGTTAGATAACTAACGTACAGATTACGGCATGTTTTTTGTTATTTAATTTTATCAATCCTTTGACGAATTTTGCTCAAAATAACTACTACAATTACAGAGGTCGTAGAGCGGACATCTTAGCTTTTATTTTTTTTTTACAAAACGATTAGGTAATTTTATGTTCATGATAATATTATATTATAGTAACTATTATATTGCAATTGATAAAACGACACAATGTATTCAATGGTTTTAAGAAATATATACCAGGTGCAGGGGCGATCCTAGAGTTTATTTTTAGGGGGGTTTAGAGTGAATATTGCCGACTTTCAATGATAAATCTGCCGACTATATACTTAATGTTATGATAATTACATTTTCCTACAGTAATAATTATAGGGATCAAATAGTTATGAAATTGTGTATTTTTTTTCTATTTATTCATTTTAATGATGAGCTAGAAAAAAAATTGATTCATATGTCTACTGAATCAAAAAATACTATTTCTATTAATTATTTATCTTATTTTAGGGGTTTTATTTGAAATGCATATAATTATATTTTAAGAACATAAATGCATATACATTCTTCATACATGTACAGAAAATGTATAAAAACATGTTTAAAATAGGTTAAGTTAGAAACCTAGGTTAACCTCACCTAACCTAAACTCGACTTTTATATGTATCGAAATACTGTATCTAAATATTCTGCTTTCAAAGATGAAATTAAAACTGAATGTTTTAATTTAAAAAAAAGTTGGTATCACTCTGCTGTACATTAGGTTACAACTTACAACTGTGTAACTGTATAATGGATGGTATTAAATTTGAATTCAATGATATAATTATAGGTAGGTATCAACTATCATTGTACCTATACGAAAAACGATTCTGAGCGGTGATGGTTTATCAGTGTGGATATTTTATATTATATTTAAATTGTTATTACTTATTCTTAATACGATAGCTGATAAGTGTAATTAATATTATACAATTACAACAAAATAACATCGTTATTCTTGGTTATTTGATATGTAATTCCCTCCAAATTTGAACATAAAATACTATTAAAAAAACTATGTTTTTTAATTTTTTGAGATTTTTTGGTTACAGAATTAACTTATACTTACGGCAACCTTGTTTTAATTTTTCAATCCTTATATAGCTATAAAAGTTGAATATTAATTTATACATATTTAACAACAAATCGTTTTTTAATCTTAAATTTGATAAATGTTGTCAAAATCGAACTTTAAATGCTTATAAAAAAAAATTGTGCCCATGTGTATTTTACATTTTTAACTGCTATTTAAGCAATAATTATATCAAGAGCCTTATATTAAATTTTAACGCTTTTTGGCCCAACAAATAAATGTTATTCATTAATTTATAGAAAAGAAGAGGAAACCCTATAGTGTCTATAGTTAATCATTTTTTAATTACAACAAAATAAGAAAATCGCTACATAATATGAGAAATCGAGTGAATAATATACAATGTTGTAAAAATTTGAAATTCAAACGCCTATAAAAATTTAATTTGACTTGCTTGTATGCGTTTTTTTTTTTTTTTTGATTAAGGTAGAAAAACTTATGAAAAATCTTGTATTGATTTTTAAAATCTTAGATTTAAAAATATTATTTTTTTTTGATTTTCTAACTCAAAATAATTTGCACATTTTCGTGCATTTTACAATTTTAAATGCGTATAAAAAAATTGCGCCGATGGATTTTTAATATTTTTCATCTGTCTGTGAACCAATATAATAGGATCCTTGTATTAAATCCAGATTTTTTACCCAACAAATAACATTTTATTGACATTCATAGAAAAAAAGGTGGGTAAGTGGATGTCGCTCTGCTGTACAGTAGGTTACAAGTGGGTCACTGTATAATGGATGCTTTTAAATTTGAATTCAATGATACAATATCATTGTATAAGAAAAACGATTCTGAGCGAAGACGGTATGTCAGTCTAGGTTTAAGACAAATTATATACATATCTATGGTATTAAAAAAAAAATTGACCTATAATAAATTCCAAATTAATCATATCACATTATCACAATATCCATTAGGTACTTATAACACGTTATACATCAACATCAATAACAAACCCTGATACTATCATAGATATATAATAGTACACTTTAGAAGTTTCAAGTAGGTACCCACGAATAATATTATATAATCACAACAAAATAACTAGGTTTTTTAATATGTAATTTCGTCCAAATTTGAACATAAAATGACTATAAAATAAACTGTGATTGTATATTTTTTAGATTATTCGGTAAGAGAATTAACTACTTACGTGGAATCTTGTTTTAAATTTTCAATCCTTAGCTATAAAAACTGAACATTTTATAATTTATTAATTACGATGACTAATAATTTTCGAGATTTTGAAAAATTCTGTAAAAATTCGATGTTTAAATGCTTATAAAAAAAAATTGTGCCTATGTATTTTTAATATTTTTCATCTGATATTGTAACAGTATATCAGGAGCCTTATTATTAAATTTTTACACTTTTTGGCCCAACAGATAAAACTTTATTGATATTCATAGAAAAAAAAACTAAAAAAATTGAAAAATGAAAATGTCCGTTAACAGCTCAAAGAGAGTCAAAATATTTTCAAAATCGTATGGTGTATAGGAAATGCTAATATAAACATTCAGTGAAATTTTCATGTATCTACAGTTATTCGTTTTTGAATTACAACAAAATAAGGAAATCGGTACATGAGAAATCGAGTGAATATCCAATGTTGTAAAAATTTGAATTTCAAACGCTCATAAAAATTTAATTTAACTGTCCGGTAGAGATTTTTTTATTGATACAGGTAGACAAACGTATGAGTAATCTTGTATTACATTTTCAAATCTTAGATTTAAAAGGAAAAATTTTTACGAATTCTTAACTCAAAATAATTTGCTAATTTTCGTGATTTTTCAATATTTTGTCAATTTTTGAACTTTAAATGCTTATAAAAAAAAATTGTGACTAAGGATTTTTAATATTTTTCACCTGCCTTTGAAACAATATATTAGGAGCCTTCTATTAAATTTTCAAGCTTTCGCAACCAACAAATAAAATTTTATTGATATTTCTAGAAAAAAAACTAAAAAAAAATGAAAAATGAAAATGTCCCTAAACTGTTCAAAATAAATCAAAATATTTTGAAAATGTTATCGTGTATAGAAGATGCAAATATAAACAACCAGTGAAAATTGCATGTGCCTACGGTTATTTGTTTTAAAGTTACACCAAAAACCAAATTCAATTTTCTGAAAAATCGATTTTGCGTAAAAATTCCCGTTTTTCCTTAATTTTTCTTTTGTTTTTCTTGGCGCTTTTGAAAAGTTCTGGGAATTTTAAATTTTGACCTCCTCAATGCACCAACGATATTCACTTTCCAATTGAACAAGATACTGAAGTCGAAAATCGAAGCATTATTTCGACTACTTATCGTGTACACAGACACAAAAAAAATAAAAAAAAACACACATCATTGTAAAATCAATACATTCATCGTTTCACTCAGAATCTAAAAAACCAAAAAAAACTGAAACTGAAAATATTCGTAAACAGTTCAAAAATAACCAACATTTTTTGAATATTTTATCGTGTAAAAATGCTTATGTTAACATTAATCAACTAGGGAAAATGTCTTAAATCTACGTTCATTTGAGTTACACCATAAACCAAAATCGATTTTGGGTAAAAATTACCGGTTTTCCTTAATTTTTTTTTGGTTTTTCCCAGCGCTTTTGAAAACTATTTGGAATTTTTTACTTTTGACCCCCCAAAGTATGTACCAACTAGATTCACTTTCTTATTAGTAAATATTGAACTGTTTAAGAAAATCCAAGCATATTTTACTGTCCTAAAAGGTGATGACAGACACAAAAAAAAAACATACATTCATCGCTTCGCTCAGAATCTATAAAAAGTTGGATTTTTTGATTTCTGAAAATTGCTGACTTGTACTTACAGTTGTCGACATTCCGGGGGGTATCAAACCCCCCACAACCCATCATAAAATCACCCCTGACCATGTGTTTTTTCAAAGTAAAACACTAGATATTCCAAAAACTACTATCGTTATTGGTATTATTTTTTACGTAATTTTGATTTTTTATAAAACAACATTTTTGAAAAAATATTATTTTTTTTTAAAATGTCTTCATCAATGTTTATTCTGTTTTGTATTTTTTTTTTAATGACTACATACAATTTTAATTTCATATTCTAAAGCAGACCATTATTTTTACGTAATATACCTTGATTCTAAGTGAAGACATTCTGCCAGTCCAGGGCTGACCTGGGAAAAAAATCAGCCCAGTGGATACAGAAAATTCGGCCCAAATGATAAGCTAGTCATAAAATACAAAAATATTTTTTTATGTTTAACACTTTTTGGTATTTTTCCCTTTTTCTTTTCCTTATAGTAATTTATTTTACTAAATATTATTAATACGATATAAGGTTGAACTCATTTTTGCCAAAAACATTGCATTAATAATATTATGATAGGTATTTATATTTCACTATTATAATAGTATACATTTAACATTTATATTATATATTATTGTCTATAATACTCACGTCAATACGTCATATTATGAATATTATCTTGTTGGCGTTAGAGTTACATTCAGTCAAAATTGTATGTACCTACGGTCATTTGTTTAAGGTTTGCAACAAAAACTAAAATCGATTT